CTTAAGTAGAAAACATGAGCCCCACACCTCAGAAAACCTCAAAGTGCTGGGAAATAACCATCCTGCAGCTGTACACTGTAAAAAGCTCCTCCACACCATTCTTTTGGCTCGAGTGTGGGGTTTCACCCTGTGATCCCACCTGTGCACGAGCAGTGTCACAGCACACACAGCTACACGCTGCTCGCAAGGAAACCTGCTGAGGCAGGGCTGGGGCATCTCAAAAGCTTTTAGGATACAGGCTGTAGCAGKGAAGAGCCAACTCATTGTACTCTAAAAATAATCACTGCAGATCCTTTCTTAGCTTCAACACACGAGTTAAAAATTACCAAGACTCACACAAAAGCTGTGCCACTGGCAGCAATTGGAAATTGGCTTTTTCTTCATTAAATGGCTTTGATCCAGACATACCACTGTAGGTAATAGATGCTTTACAAAGCATTTGGGTTTTTAGAGGTTAATCTGCTTTAAGGAGATGCAAAATTACTAAAGGAGGAATTAGTATTCCTTGTGAGGGAARCCTTGAGTTTTGTGCACAGAAGGCCACCTGTAGTCTCAGCCTTATCTTTTTTCTCAAGTAAAGCTGCCTTCATTCCTTGTTTTTCAGGTCTCYGAGAAGCTGGCCCCAAAGCCAGCAGGAAACCTATTTCCTTAGCTATGCTTCCACTGCCATCTAGTGCCCCCAGCAYAGACTGCAAGGGCCCCTTTGCTTTACGAACTTGTCACAAAAGATAAAAAGTCCTAAGGTTCATGTCAAACCTCAATTTTTCATTCGGAAACCAATCTTTGTGATACCACTATAGATTTTTTTTCTCTGAGAACAGATCAGACTTGCTGTAATGAGGTGGGKTTTTTTTGCAGCCTGAAGTATGAGCTACCCCTCCTGACTGTCTGGGCTGAGTGGTGATTTCAAATACCGTGTCAGTCACACTCAGTGAACTGGAATAGCATTGCTGTTTATCTGGTTTTGGTTAGAACTGAGAGACTTTTCACAGGGAATTAGGTCTCCAGAGGAAAAGAAGTAGCTRCAGTCACTAATAATGTGAGCAGTGTTCATTAGCTTCAGGAAAACACCACTGAGAAAAGGTGRATGCAGATAGAAAAATGGACTTGGTCACGTTTTCCTCTTGTACCTTTCCGTTCTTTTGCTAGGTAAGACTTTTTTTCAGTGAAAAAAGAGGAGAAGCCTGGACATGAGCATTTCTGAGAGCTCATGGCTCAGGCTTTTACAGATGCATTAACACTCCTCCTTATTAAGTCATGCTAAATACACAGGAACTGATCCAGCTCTGAGAAAACACTATSTAAGCTTTACATCATTCCACTATGTGTTTCTATATCAAACAAAGCCATTTACAACCTGTCTTACTTATCTCCATTTTACTGGTTCCACTAGAAAGGCAACTCTGTGAAGCACAGCATGTTGCTTTATTTCCTTGCAATACAATTAGATGCAATACAGAGCTAAAAAGATTCAACTATACAAAAGATGAAGATTGTTGCACTTTCATGTGGCTAAGTATTTGATTGAGAAGGGTGACCTATTTTTCTAAATATTCACAATTTCAAAAATGCAAACAGTAAAGGAGAATGAAACCAAGGTATGCACAGAATGTATTTGRATAGGGGGAGGCTGGAATTTTGTTGTGAAGATCTACTAGAACTAATATTGAGAAAAAAATATTTATATCTTCCTCACTATGGTATTTGAAATTAGTCTCCTACACAGAGTAACATCATAGGAGAAACTCCCATTGGCTCGGGAAGTGGGTGTTCCGAGTTCATATATGAAAGTATTCATCTAATTAGAGAGACAAGTGTTTTGTCTCTCAAGGTAGAATCACAGGTATTTCATGAAGGACTCAATCCATCCCACAAGTAAATACTAAAGCTCAATAACTACAAGATACATTCTGCACTATCAAACTTGCTTTTATCATGAATTGGGAAGAAAAGTTGAATCATCTTTCTGCACCCCTTACACAGATCATAAATAAAAGCAATGATGCCGTTTGTTTCAAAATCCATAGCAGAATAGCCACCAACAAAAGAGAAGTGGAAGGTCTCCCATGCTTTTGGCTCAGCACTCAGTGAAGGAAGGCCCTAAAAATGTTCAATTTATCTAGCAAGGAGATGGGCTGAATGATCAGCAGGATATTCTCAGCCTCCTCCTCCTGCTACAGGCTTGCCCTGCCCTGAGCGTATTTCCTGTAATGGTGACAAACCAATTTATTTAGGATAAAGTACCAGCTGAGCAGCAAGAAAAAAAAAAAAAAAAAAAAAAAAAAAAAAAAAAAAAAAAAAAAAAAAAAAAAAAGTTGAACCACTAAACAGGAATCTTAGACTGAACAGGAAATAGGCAGCTTATGCCAGAGATGTTGTGCATCCCAGTGAAGCTTTATAGATCTCTGCACCAAGACATTTGTGTGCACAAAACCTGCCTAAACTACCATTTATTGCTCCCACTACAAGAGCAATCACATCAGAAGGGAATATGGACATCCTTAATAGGATTTGCTGCCTGCCATTGCCAGCTGCTCTTTCAAATGACTCTGTTAACACTATATAATCAAGCTAAAAGGCTATGGAGTCACTCCTATGTGATCTCAGATTGGCCAATGGACATGAAGCATCCCAAAACCTTGGATGTGGGGTGGCAGTAACAGAGAAGTATTTGCTTTTTTCATACTGCTCTACACTGCTATGCTCACAAGGAAGGAATTTTCTGCACCTGGGAGCAGGACTGATTCACACATCGCAGACMTGCCCTTCAGTTGCATAACTTGTTCTCATGTTTTCTAACGTTTTCTGGAACACTGGGATTCCGGTGTTCTTGGGAAATAACATTGCCCGCAATTAGCTAAACCACATTTGCTTTTTTAGCAACAATGAAGTCTTGTGTTCTCTTTAGGCATTTTAACTAAATCATTGTTCATGGAAGGTAGCAAGGAAGATGGCTGTATTTTCCAGCAGAAACTGAAAAAAAAAAGMAGCCAAGCTAAACCCAGACTGTTCTCAGCTTTTTCCTGTACTATTTGGGAACATGCATGCAGTTTTGGGGTTTTTTTGTTGGCGATGATGTTTTGGTTTTTTTTAAGTCATTTTGGTGTTACCTCYTCAATCTCATACCATGAAGAAACCAAACCATAGCTGCAAAACATTAGACTAACATTATGCACCCGGTTCGGTTTCCTCTTACATRTCCTCAAGTTAATTCTGCACAGAGCCACCCTCTGCTACAGTACTGCGTTTGAAATGCATCTGCGAGCACAGCAAAACCAAAAATTACTGTTTTCCTGCCCTAAGTGAARTTTAAACTCAGGTACACTTGATATCAACAGAAAAGACATTTAAAAAAATTAAAAAGTCAGCACTCCAACAAATATTTGTAGGACACTTTCATCTCTGCTTTCCAGAGATGTCTAGGTTTAGCCTGGGGTGTGCAAAAATAAGAGTCAGGKTTAATGCACTCAGTGCAAGGTTACTGGGAGCCCCTGACAAAACTGGTATTGGGTTCTGTGTCTGTTTCYAACCTTATCCAAACATAATTCCTTGAGGGGAAAAACAGAGTTTCACAGTTGTTTGTCTTAGCCACTACGAAAACCGCAGAGAATCTTGGCACACAGCGAAAGCTTGGCAGCACTACTGCAGCACACATTTTCCTCTGCTCAATTACTAGTGGGTGTTTTGGGCTTTTTGAGTGTTTGAAACACGCTTATTGTTACAGTGACACTTGAGCATAAATGGAAGGGGTACAGCAAGAGGAACTTGCTCATGCCAACTTTTCCATGCAAACTACTCTCAGACTTCTAAAAAAGCTACCTGATGATCCTGCTACCAGCCTAAGATGTCTTCAAAATTGTATTTTTTTACAACTTGCCTGTCTACCACTCCCAGCATGTGCTAGACTTGTATGAATATAGTACTTGAAAGGGTTTAAAAATAAACAAAAAGCCCAAAACACAAACAAAAAAACAAACACAAACAAAAAAACACAAAAAGATCAAAACATCAAAGTGAGCATAATAAAGTCTCCAAGTACTTTCCCTCTTTGGCAATACTGCTGAAATCATCAAAGACAGCTATAATTATGATTAATCTCATAATACCCACACCCCTGCAGAAAATGGACTCCAAATAGAAACTCCAGCTAAACCAATGAAAATCTGTTAAGGAAAAACAACCACTCTGCTGCTAYGATGCAATAAAACTGATTCTATAAGGAAAAACCAAATCTGAAAGAAATTAAGTCTTTGCTACAGTGATTACAATGAGGCAGCTGCAAAAGGAACTAACACCAGTAACCTAAAAGAAGTCTCCCGTAATTTTAAAGCAAAGGAGTCCTGGTGTTTTACAGGAGTTTGAAAATCCCAAGAGCTGCTTGTGTCTAACCTCAAAGGTGGGGCAGCAGAGACAGAATTAATTTTGATGCAGTGTTTGTGTAGATGGTAGGACGTACCTGATTACCGGAAGGCAATACTCCAAGGGTAAGTGGTATCTATTGGCATGATGGCCTGGAAAACATAACTAGCTCTATGGAATTTCTCCCTTCCTTGTACAGTTGAACCCTAAAGTTTAGCTTAAAAAAATAAAAATAGTGTGTTTGAAGCACGTTTCAAAAGGATATTCAAAACAAAGAAGCCTTTAAACCTTAGAAGTACATCCTTACAGCATGTTTCTACACTCACTTTCAGCTACATCTCACAAGACCTTAGTAATCAGCAATTTTACATCACTCATCCTCAAATACAACTCCCTTCACTAAGTGTTAAAAACAAAACAAAAAAGAAAAAACAGAAAGAAGCAAAATATATATTGAGTGCTCTAAGACGATCATTTTATCAACTGCACAAGTCCTAATGCATATGGATTTTGAGATATTTGGCTAGATTCTTCCAATCCAATTAATTTAATGCCAAGCATATTTATCAGAAATCACAATGGAGAAATGGTCAGCTTTCTTACTGGAGAAAACCGAGACACAATTACAGAAGCATTCTGCACAAATAAAAGAGTTTTTATGTGTTTTATTTGTCCATTTGGAATAATTAGCATTTATAATCAACATAAATCCACCCCTCGGTGAAAAACCCGACAGCTTGTTATTGCCAAACATATTACAGTCCACTGAAGGGTGAAGAATTACAGACATATAAAGATGAATAACATTATGTCACCATTAAATCACTTATTCAAAACACTTTAATCCTCAAACATTGTAAATTAAAACCAGGAAAAAAGAAATCAACATTTCCAATGATAAAATACATTGTGTTTAGTACACAATATAGCAGTAGTTTATTACACTAGTGCATTAGAAGGTGAAAAAATGGACAGCTCCTTTGGAATAACTGCATCATTGTGGAGCTCACTCTTACACAAACACTGCTTGCAGCCACAGAAGGTACCARGAAGTCTCCAAGAAGTATCCAACTACAAAAATCCATCACAGCTAAAATAAATCTACTCAGACTTTATTATGCTCATATTACTTTAATATGAGGACCTAAAATTAGATTCTTTTGCATGTGGAGTGACCAGTGACATTCCTCAGGAAATCAAGCAAGTAATGAACAGATCTGCTACAGATCCATACTTGAAAATTACACAGAAAAATACCTTTCAGTTTTCACCTGCTTAAGTAAATAGTTACTTAATATTTGGAAGCCTTCTATAAGAGTTTTAAAGCTTAATGGTTTAAACCATTCTCAAGGTCGCTGGCATGCATGAAATTTGCAAGTATGAATAAGTAGGATATAATACCTAAAAGATAAAAAATTTTTACTCACTAGAGATGGAATTAAAAAACTTTTCTCCAAAAATGAAAATGGAAGATAAAGTTTATAAAAATTTTCCAGGAATGATTTGTATTACATTAACTTTATATTAGATGACAACTTCAAGACTGAAGTTAACAATTATTAGAATCATCCTTCAAAATAAAAGGGATCAGAAGAATAATCTCTATAAATCAAAGTACACTGCATATCTTTTTCTCAAGATGTTGCCTGCTACAAATGGCCTCATACAGCTACTAGAGCCCTATCAAGTCTGTGGAACAACTTGCTTGTCAGTTAAATAGGATGTGAATTGAAAAGAAGATGYACACAGGAGGCATATTTCATTATGGCAATAGACATCATCTTCATTCAAACTGACCAACAAACAAGAAAAATTCTGGAGCCAACTGAATTGCAAATGTGTGTGAAGAAAAGCCCATTCAGTACCTCATTATATTTTCAATTAATTTTTTTTAATAACAAAGAAACCTGGGAAAAAATATAATTAAGCAACAGCAAAACAGAATCCCTCCTTTCCCAAGGATTCAAATTATCCTCTGAACTTTATGATAACTAGGAAAAGTTTAAAAACAGACATTCTTGTGTCATTACCACCGCTTGGCACACTAAACAATTCCATCTGTGTCCACCCACTGTCACCACAAGATCAGACAGCAAACTCTTACGGGTAAAGACTGATTTTTTTCCTAATTTCTTTTATACCAGGAAGTGATAGTATCCATATCTCCTCTGCGCCACAGTAATATAATAAACTAAATATCAYTGCTATGCTTTATTTTCTATTCAAAGCTCTAAATCCATCAAAAGTAAGAGATGGTCACCCAAGTTTCTATGATCAAAAAAACAGTTTCCATATGTGACCTGACATGAAAATATTCATGATGCAACGTTTTTATTCTTTGCATCATGCAAAAAAACCCCATGAGATTATCATCAAGAAACTGTAAGTTATGGTATCTTTTAATCCATGTCTTTTATTGGAAAGAGGAGGTAGATTAGAAGTAAGCCACATCCTGCACTGCTTGATCAGTCATAAGGCACATTTGCATTCCACTGAAAATAGGATATATTTCAGGCCTGGCAATGAAAGTTGGAGGAAGTAATCAAATGCACTTGGAGTAGTGTAATGACTAGTCTCAGACTGTAGCAAAAAACAGACAAAACATCTTTTTTTTACTATAGGAAATCTAGGTACCTTATCTAAATGAAATTAGAGAATGATAGATCTACAAAAGTATGGGGCCCATTGGCTCATAMAACTTACTGGCACTTAATTCTTTTTTTCACAGTGAAAGGAATGGACATAATAGTGGAAGTGTTAAAAAATGCAGCTTAAGATGCATCTGTCTTCTGTTAACTTCTAAAGTTAYCTTAGAAGTGAGCTGGTAAGTTAAAATGTTATTAAAAGACAATTAAATCCAAGAATTTGTTTTCATCATTATCTTGAACTAAAATCTACCCCCAAAAACTGAAGGGAAAAATCCCACAGCAACAGGGGGACAGCGCTACAGTTACGTTGATATCTACTCAAGTAAATCTTTAACAAATAATGCGGACCAAATCCAGACTCTTTGCCAACAGATCAATCACAGTTTAGCACTCAGCCCTCCTATGAGTTTGACTYGGCTCTTATTCAAAGCAACATGAGAACCAGGCTCTCCAAATGCCAAAGCCACCTCAGTAAGCTTCAACGTGAAAGTTGTCAAACTGCGCAAACTCAAACGAACGAGTTCCGAGAGCAGCCCAGCCATTCTTTGGTTTAGAAATGGTGACATTCTCCCAGAGCGGATAACCATTTAACAGTCCTGAGGCRGAATTGCCCTGTCAAAAAAAGGAAAATGTTAGCTTTGTAAAATCCAGTGTCTGTGCAGACACTGAGCCTGCTCACAGGGGAGACAAGACAAAGCAGAAAGATGTCAAGTCAACTTTCAACTACATTTCACACATTTTTCATGCAGAGGTGCATCTAAATATTGCATACAATCCTCTGGTGTCTATCAGCTCTGTGAAACAGAAATACTGCCTTTACAGTGAATACATAAAAGGCTCCTCTTCCCCAACTCACAGGTTTGCTAACTCAGTGTAGAACCTGAAAGGGAAACTGGTTTTCCTCTTCTACTTGTATCAGGCTTTTTCAAACAGCCCAACTTTCCTAAGGTGATATGATACTCCTGGCACTGATTCTGCAGAATTAGGCAGAAGCYGAAAGTAAAGGAAGATGTAACTTAATCATTAAGCCAAGAGAAACAGGAGACAGGAGAACTTCCATGTATCACTCAAGCCACCTCAAGACGTTGAAATTAACAGCAGTTTCAGGAAAAATTACAATTTATCTTGTCTGTGCTCCTCTAAACAGTATTTAGAAAAATACTTCGGTTTACTTGTACTTCTTAATCTGAAAGACAGTTATAGACACAGGTAAAAGCAAAGAATGTCTCTCAAGGAGTCACTGTGAGCATTATTTAAATACAGGTCTGCACTTCAGCCATTACATCAAAGTCATATTTAGTGCAAAATACTTTAACAGCACAGATTAAAGTTTGAAGCATTGTAATTTTAAAATTAGCATCACTATTTTAAGTGATTTATGTTCACCTTCAGTAACCCACTGTCTTGGCCAATGTTACAGACAGCAAGAGCTGCCATAAATGTAGGTGTACCAACACCAAAACTAAACTACACCCATTCCAGTGAATAACTTAGGTATGAGTGTCCCTTTGTCTCCAAATGTGATAGTACAAGAGACAAAAAATAAATGTGATAGTACAAGAGACAAAGCTTCTATTACTCAGTGCTATTTTAGCATGAGGGTCTCTGCATAATTTTAAGAATTACCTTCAGTAGTAGATCTCCCCAGCTAGGATTCAAGCTTCCCCACATTTCAGGCCAATTGCAGTTGCAAAGGAAAGGGATTAGGCATTCAGAAGAGGAACCTAAAGCCCTTCAGGCACTTACCCCAATGTCTCACCCACTGAAGTGCACAGGGATATTTAAAGTTTGGGGCTACTTTCCTCACCAAGTCACTATGGTCAAAAAGGGTGGAGTGGGTGGGAAGGAAAATAATCCCATTAACTGCAGCCCATTCATACAGTAACACAATGCTCATGCTCTTCCACTACAGTAGCGAAGCAACACAGTTTATCTCAGTTTTTCACATCTTTACTAGTTCTGCAAACAAGGCTTTAGCCTGCAAAAGGAACTGGTGGGACACAGATTTGTAACACAGGCTACTCTAGTAGTTTACAGACTGTCTTAAGAACAGAAAGTCAGGCCATCATCTTTCCATCAGATTAAACAAGAGAATTGCCTCTCTGACCCTCCAACCTCCAGCTTTCAATTAAGATTTCCAGTTATTTTCTATAACTTCTAGAGTTTCCCAAGATCTCTTTAAAAATACAGGCAGCATAACTTGTATGGTATTTTAATATTGGTTTAAAATAACAAGTATTATTTATGTTTTAGATAGGGTAAACTAATGCAAGTACACCATTAATAGAACAGCACAGTTTCGTCTAAACCATTTAGGACTGAAAGTTTCAAAATTGGTTTTCTACCTTTTCACCTGTATCCTTACCTGAATGTTGAGAGTAAGTGTGTGCCATGCATTATCCCGAACACCAGAAAGTCCTTTCATTAATACTTCTTGTCCAGCTGCAAAACATGCTTAAGTTAGAAAAGTGTTACTTCAGCCCTTTGCTCAAACTGGTAAATACCAAGCCAGCAAAAGGAAAATAATATTTATTTTGCAGAAGTGCTCAGGACTGACATTTTACCAATTTCAGTTGCAGCATGGAAGGCTTAATATGCAAACCTGCAGTATCAGGGCATTCTCCTATTTGCCAGAACTGTTTTCCCACTGCAGTCTCCAGTGGTCTTGACAATTTAGCCAAGAGAGATGAGGATTCACTCTATTGAGTACGGGTTCACCAAGTGGGACGTAGCTATTGTTCTGCTTATTCTATAGATCTTCTTATTTATGTATTGTTTGGAACTATTTTAAATCACAGGGTTTGAGTTACCACACTACCATGCCACTTAGCTCTACTCAAAATTTAAGCAAAGCAAAAATGGGTTGTGAATGATACCTGAAGGGAAGTTAAATTAAGTGCTACAAGTCTTCAGTTATTCAGTAGACAATTTTAGCTGCAACATAATTTAACATTCAGGCTCCCTTCTAGAAAAATATATAGGTGACTGAAAATAGCTGTACAGAAAAAATTATCATATTGGGTAGCAAGAATCTCAGCCTGAAATAATGCAGTGGTTAATCAAAATCCACTCACTTCATCTAGGAAAAATTATTTCTGACAATCTGAAAAACTAATCAGATAATTTTGCTAAGTTTTATTACAAATAAAAAAATTACACGATCCTAAACACAAATATGTACTTCCATACAGCTGAAAATTAGGTTTTTATGAGGTAAGATATTGCAAAGTTTCCCTAGGGAGCACTGGCATGTTCAGAGAAACTGTGTAACACCTTCTTTATGCCACCTGTCAATTGCAAAACTGGAAAGGAACACAGACATGCACACAAAAAAAATAGCAGATATACCATAGATCTAGAAGCTACATTTGACTCATCAGAAACTATTGAAAATTGTAATTTATACTCATGAAGTGACAGCAAATGCATTTAAACAACTATTTCAAAGCAAATTGAAAAGAACTTTTAGCTTAAGTATCTAGTAATACACTTTAGATTAAGTATTATCATATGTTCTTTCATGTGCCTGTCAAATGCTCTAGAGATGAACAGACATGAATGTCATCACAAGTAGAACGTGCTCACTCCACTGAACTAGACTAACAAAAGGAGGAAACAGGAGGCCACTAAATCACCATCACTTTAGGTAGACGTAAGTACGGGGACTTGAACTGCTWAGAAAAGCCATGTCATTTCAATCAGGATTTTATGTGTAGTTTAAGAATACATATCAAATCTTTTCGTAATTAATATTGTATCAGAATATTTCTTTTATGAAAAGCAAAATAGTTTATATCTGCTAGTGTACAACAGATTTTGTCAGTGGAAAAACGAAAACTCCAGAAAGTTGAGCCCGARAAAGGGCCAGTAGTCTTCAGATGCTTTCTCCACATATGGAAAGTGGCTATCACTGGAACACAACCGGTTAAATTCATAGTGATGACAAATGAACCGTAAAATCTGAATATTATCCATTTTTATAAGTTATCAAAATGACATGTCCACATGCCATTATCCACTTTTGCAAAGAGCTGCTTACCTAAGTCACCAGTGACTCGGTAGGTGCCATCTGCAAAAACCCAGAAGAAAACTCCTTTGGCACGTCGAACATATATCCCACCATTGTCAACTCTTCCTGCAATAAACACACCTCCATCACGTGGCTTTTCTATGTAGATGTCACAAGTGACTGTCATGTTTACCCTGTAAGAGAAGTTTAGTGTTTTAACAAGGAAGGAATTCATTATTTCGAGCAGGAAGTAGGCAGAAATAATTTAATTTTCCTGAGATGATACTCTAGCTTAACATTAAAGAACTGTTAAGCATGAAATGACAGCTGTAAAGGAGAATAAAGCAAAGTAATACCATCAAGCAGCACCTAGAAAATTCAYACAACTTCCTCCACCCCAAAGCTGTGCTACAAGACTCTTAATCATAAAAATCAGAAGCATTCTTTACCTCTGTTAATGGATATTCAAACTAAAAAACCACATCCCGTGTCTGAAGTCACTTGTAATATGGATACAACCACAAGGTCACATACTTAAGGAGTTTCTAATTATCTATAATTATTAACAAAATGTGCAAAGACTCTCTGCAACACCAGTTCAGCTGGTAACTGAATCAAGTAATATCTATTGTAGCAACTTTTCTTCTCACCTCTAACATAAAAGGAAGAATGACCTAAGTTTTCATTTTAATGTAATCATATTAGAAGTACCAGATTCTTGAATACATATTCATTACACAAACAAGATTATTTTCTTGCCTCCCCATGTATTAAACAAGAGACACCCACTTCACACACATTTTCCTTACGCCATTATAAAGAGACTCAAGCAGTACAGAATTAATTAAATAGTAATCATTTCAGAATACAGSTAATTTCAATAAAACCATCAGAGAAAAACACTAAAAGAATCAGGATAACAGAACAAACTAAAACCAACTAAACAATCCTGAAATTCAACCACCATAAATTGCCATTGATGACTGAAGTGAAATATCATCCCATAGAGAAATTTAATGCAAGATTGGCCCAGAATTTCAATAGCAGGCACTCATTGTTGAAAATATCTGCCAGGGACAAATTGAGTCTTAAACTGAGGATGACAAAAACAAACTTGAGCTCCTGAAAYTGAGGACTAGCATTATGTAAAGTTACAAATCAGTAAAACTTGAATAATAAACTGAATATTCAGGAAGTAAGTTTGGTTCTGAAAACAAGATGAAGACTCAGAAAGAAATTGAATCAAAATAAAATAATAGGAAGTTTTTAGGCTTTTATCTCAGTATAGTAATTTAAGAATACATCCTGTGTAGCTGTTATAGAAATCACTGAATAATATTTACTCARCGAGGGAAAGTTGATTATAGGGGTAATATGAGATTTCTCTTAACAGAGGGCTTCAAAAGAGAACATCATGTAAGTAAAGACCAACCCCCAAGTATGAGTGGTGTTCTTCAAGGCTTTGGAGCAACGTGATTCAATCACTTCTCCAGGACTGAAGTTAGAAGTGTGAAGAATGTTCTGAAAAAGCACTTGCAAGATCAATGATCTAATCAAAGTGAAAAAACCTGACAGAATGGCTATTTCAAAGAACATATCAAAAGAATTTAGGCTAGACTTCTAAGCAGAAGAGGAAGTTTTAAGCATGAAGTTTATTATTACTACTAAAAGCACAATTWGTTAACAGGCTCTTTCCCAAATGCTTATTAATTTTAAATAAACATTATTCTAAAGTATGTTCCTTGATTCTGAATTAYCATCATTGTAGCTCCTAGCAATTTTATAGGTCCTAGAAAGAATTGCAATTGTAGCCATACTATTATCAAAGAAGTAAACCTCAGCTACTTTAACCCAGAAATAAAACTGGTTTAAGTAGCAGTGGAATCAAATCCACACAATTCTAGGAACTGCTCAGAAGATGGCAATCTGCAACAAATACAACTGAATTATCAATGAAATAGTCTGGGAGTTATGAGATTGATCAAACTTCTAACAAAGAAACCAGAGAACTCAAAATTAYGTAATTTAAAATTAATCCTTTTTTTGGGTCCAATTTAAGAAATAATGAAACTCAGGGTATACGTTGGTCTTTCTAGTATGCCAAATCCATTATTATACTCCAGATCCATTATTCCAAAAAATTAGCTTGAATATGCCCAGCAGGTCATAAGGCAAAAAAAAAAAAAAATTTCAGACACTGCAGCAGCGGGCTAAGCAACCAAGAAATGTTGCTTGGACAAACCAAGGACTCCCCATCCTTTAAGAGTCATTCAGACAGACACAATTGATCTTTGGTCCTGAGCAGGGCTCAGTGACTTTTACAAGTCCCTAAATCATCACTCCTACATGTCTGCAGAGAATCTGAAGGCAAAAGCAAAAGCCTTCTGTCCAAGAGATGTGGCTTGAGACAGATTAATTGATCATAACTCACACTGGTGAGGACATTTCCCCAAATATCACTAGAAAACAGTATTTACATACCACTTAAAATTTCCTATGACACTGATGGTCTGGTCTGCATCAGAAACCCAAGTGATGGGCCGCTGAACCACCACYTGGCGGAGTGTGAACACATGATCTCCTGGGTCAGAAGCATTTACAAAGTATTCAAATACACCTGTCTGATCTGCAAAATTTGGGGCTTCACTGAAAGGTGGATTACCTGTTCAGAAAATAAAATACACATCAACTCTAAAACATTGTTTTTCTTCTGTGTACTCGTTTTCAGAAATTTCCTCTGAAACTTTTCTCCAGAATTTTGACCTGCTGTTATCAAAGCAGTCCCCAAAACGCAATTTTTTAAGCAGACACCAGTTCTGCAAACACATGAACAAAGTAAACTACTTTCTTCCCGAACTGCCTTCCAAAAACTAGTTCACTATAGTTATGAGCTACACCAATTGAATTAAGAATTGAGGCTAGCGACCACCCAGTTAAGACATAAAATTAAATACACCTCATTGCAAGTTTAAGGTGGAAGTTGTTGGAAAAACGGATAAAAATAAACAAAACCAAAACAACTTGAGACTACCTCATGTAACCTCATGATTCAAATAACATAACTTACTGCCTTTCTACATCACAATTATAATTGTGTGTGAATTAACTTTTTGACTAAGAGATTTCAGACTTACGTATATTGAAATCATCTTCGTAATTTGAAGGAAAGGGCTGAGGAGGGGGCGGCTCTGGAAAACGACATTTCCGTCCTGTCTTGAGTGTGGTTAAAGTGTAGACTTCATCCACATTTAGATCTAAAGAAAATCTTCCCTTCCATACCTGGAATTGAAGAAAGCTCAAGCTGCAAAAATTAAACAACAAAATTACAAAATACCAAGCTCCTGAAGTAAAGAAGATCTTCTGAAGCACTGATTTAAGGCAAAAACCTTGTCATCTCGCCTCAGCTTTTAAATATCTCTGGGCTATTTTGAAAACTCCTTTTCTCCAAATTCTTTATTACCTCCATGTAAGCTTGTATATAGCTCGTGAAATTGTAGTCAAACCATCTTACTAAAACACACCCTAAACATGCAGCTTAAGCGTGAAATTTGGGAAGTTTCAGCAAGGGGGGAAGATGGACCTGGAATTGCAGAGACTGTAATTAAAACTGACCAGCTTACCTTTACAGGATGGAGTTTCTGGAAAAGAATGGAGTTTCCATATTCAAAATCAAGTCTAGAATACCACACTTGCAGGGTTTCCACCATATACTACAATGGAACACAACATACAATTTAAAACACAACAACTGCAAAATAAACAACCTGGAATATTCAACTTGAGAAATATAAATCCTCCAAGGGTATCTAATTTTTGTTATTTTAAAGCTGTTGATCACATTAGAGGCCAACACTCTATTCAGCTAGTCATTACATGTGCCTTACATTTTCATAGATTATACATCAATAAGGCATTGTCCTATCGTGCACTAATGCTGCTTATAAAGACAGAAGGCACTGCAAACAAACACAAACTTTAGTCTCTCTGTCACCAGCAGTGGTACCCCTTGGATACAAGCTCTCTCCCTAGAAGTACATAGACTGAAATAATTTCTAGTTTCTCTTTTATAAGAACTTTAGTTGCTAGCTCTTTGATAATAATTTTTGAGCAATGTATTTCGCTTACAGATCTCCAGACTTCCGCAATACTATGGCATATCAACTATATTAGTTACAGATTTTAATCACACCTAACCTCTACAATTTTTTCAGTTACCCACATCAACAACAAATTAAGTGACCTAGAGTYATCACATGGACAAGCCACTGCCAAAAGGGAGCTGTGTATCTGAACTGACATTCCACTACTTTTCCTAAGTGAACCAYTTTATTGCCAAAAATATTGTCCAAATTATCTCCTCCTAAAGGAAATCAATGCTGCCAAAAATCAAAAAAGTAAATTCCAAAAAAGTAAATACTGACAACTTCTGAGAAGCAATCATCCGAATCAACTAGCCATGACTCCCTCCAGTTTACACTGTGAAAGTATTGTTCACATTTCAGAGGAAAATTTACTTTAGCAAGATCGAAAAAGAGAATAAATAAATCAACAACCAGGAGATTCTCAGAATATCTCTTCACAGGATGCAACAACAAAACCTACAGCATAAAATCAACTGCAGCTACTCCCCTAGAAATGAACTGATAACAACAAAGGCCATGCCATGCTAGCCAGGCAAACTATGTCAGCATGTCAGAGCACCCAGCCTTGGAATAAATTCCAAAGAAAAATTCAGTTGCATTTCCATTCTAGGAAATTTCTTCTTAATTWCACAGATTACTAGACTGGGAGGCTGCAATTCTACAATTTCAGTTATGACACTGTATCTCATAGTAAAACAGAACCAGAATGCTTAAAACTTTGCCAGGWATATAACAGCTTTCAGTATTGGAGACTTAATTTCTTGCTAACMTGTGATACTGCCTTGCATGTACTTGATTATGAATGGCAATTCATTTTACAAGGATGATCAAATGAATTCAGGATCTACTTACAAATGACCCTGTGAGGTAGAAAGTTGCTCTCTGAGGTACAACACTGAAATTCGGCAATGGGGGCCTGATACATTTAGAGTGATTGTGAGTCTGAAGAAAAAATAAATATAACAGAAGAAACACACGTTACAGGGATGCAACACATGGCAACATTCATGAAGAACATGCAGCATAGAATTGAAATTGAAAAAGCAGTAATTCATTTCACTGCTATCTTAATAACTGCAATTACACTGGTTTAATAATTTCATTTTGAATATATATTTTAAGAAAGCATATGATATAACTTGCCCCAAGTGTGTCATCCAATTAAAGCTAATGTGTGATAAAAAGATAAAGATGGCATATATATTGGCCTCCAGAAAGTCTCAACTAGGTATTCAAAGTTCAGATAGAAAAAATGACCTCTAAGGAACTCACTAACAAAGCCATAAGTATCAAAGAACATTCACAGATACCAAACTCCATAAATCAAGGACAGGTTCTTCGTAACAAAACATTTCCTTTAACTTTTCTAGGCCACTGGAATTGCTGATGCACATACCATAGTTTCAATGATGATGGTAAGGTTCCCTAGACCATCTGTCAGAGCTACAAAACTGCCACCTCCTCCTAAGTGTCCATCCACTTGCAAGTATGACCAGCCTGGCTGAGTAAATTGTGTGGTGTGTGCTGAGACAAAAATCAGAATAC